TCTGCTCGGCAAAAGGAGCCACTTTTTTTTTTTTTTTTTTTTTTTTACAGTCAAACAGATGAGCAGATTGTTGAATATAAAAAATGTTGAGTGGAGATGGACAATCGGATTATGCGCCTTTGATCGGAATCATCACTTTCTCTAATTTCATTTCACCTCCTGCGCTCTGTGGGACGCACACACATCAGGACACTTGTTCTCCTTCAGTGACTCTCAGTAAAAACAAAACTCCTGCATTAAAAAAAAAAAAAAGAACTGTTTCAGTTACAGGCTGTTTTACAATTCCTTTCCCGTGCTTCCCTTTCTGTCACTTCTCCATAATTCTTGGTATTTCAGTTAGACAGGCCCTCTTTCTGAAGCTTCCCCTTTTCCATAGATTCCTATATTTCATGATTTCCACTTCTTCCTCTTCAGTTGTACAAACAGAGATAGAGGCATGGGGAAATCAGGCTGCTACCGTGACATGCAAACCACAGGTTGGTAGCTGTGGGACTTGCGCGATCTGTCAGTTCTCTTTAATATGTCTACGGTTCTTTGGTGGGAAAAGAAGGAGCTGGTCGCTCATCGAGCAGGACACTTCTCTTTTCTGATCACTCTGGGAGCATCGAAGAGAGAGTACAGATTGTTTTTCTAACTGCTGTTGGCTTTCATCCGTCGTGCAGCATTTCATCTCTGTCTTTTAAAAAGCGGGAAATGTCAAAAATCAAATTAAGACCCCTGTATGTGAACAAGATTGTGAAAAGGCCATGTGTGAGTGTGTGTGTGTGTGTGTGTTCGTCTGTGTTCATCGCACTCTGTTGCTCTGATAGATACCGCGCTCGTCCCTAGTTTCACACTGCTTCCTGTGTCTCTGTTTCCTGTTTATCTTGCTGTCATTTGTTTCACCAAAGTGTGATGGTGAGAGATGATCGGCATGTTTCTTCATCTCATCGCCGACATCCTCAAACAGCAGACATGTTGTCCACCTGTGTGTCCTCACAAAGTAGCACAGAGAAACATTTCAGTGTTAAAATGTGCACGCTGGAGGTTGATCTCAGTTGATGTTTGTGTTGTTGAATTTCAGAAAAATTGTCTGAAATGTGACGGGAAGCTTTTGAAATTTCTGATGCAGCGTCTCGCCGCACATGAAAATGTCACAATGTGCACTAAAGGAGGTTTGCCATTACAAAGCTCTTGCTGGCCTAGTTGTGCTAAAGTGCAGTTTCAGTGTTATCGCATACAGTTTCCATCACAAGACAAGAAACAGGGAATGAACAGAACCACACAGACTAAATACCACACTCAGTGAACCCTGCTATAGCCAGGCCGTGTTTTATTATAAAGACAAAATGAGAGGTTTAGTTTCATAGCTGTTCATCAACACAGTCATTCTATAATAATGAGCAAGTCAGGTATGTAGCAACAGTAACGTCTGACCCACAAGAAAAAACACTGCATTGTGGAGACGAGGTGAAAAAGAACAAAGAAACAACAACAAAAACAACAAAAATAATATTCAAATAATAATAGCTATGATGCAAAATAACAGTGATAGTGCCAGAAAAGTCCAACAAAATACAAAACAAACTCTAATGCACTTTAAGAAAGGATCACATGTGAATTTGTTCAGTGAGGACAGTCAGGTCTGTTCAGAGAACACAATGTCAGGCTCTCTTCTCACGCCACAGCATTAACATCACACTGATGAAGTGCCCATCTTTAGTATTTAACATCATGACAGAACCATGCTCGTATTCTAAACCGTGGCCCCCCTCCCTCCCCCTTGCCCTCTTTTCCAGCCTGTAACATTAAAGTTGAGGCTCGCAGTGATGAGGAGAATGGGCTGGCCTGTGACATGAATGGCGTGGAGGAGGAGGAGTGCGCGGAAGACTTGCGCGTGATCGATGCCTCGGGGGCCAAGGTGAACGGCTCACAGCCGAGCCCCGAAGCCAAGGCCTTCTCCTCGGCCGGCGGTATCCGGCTGCCCAACGGGAAGCTCAAGTGCGATATCTGTGGGATAGTTTGCATTGGTCCCAATGTGTTGATGGTGCACAAGCGAAGCCACACTGGTAAGCCATCTGCAATACTTCTTGCCCTTCCTTTGCACCCATGTTCACTGTTAGTGTTAGAGGATGGATGAGGGATAGAAAGGTGTCTGCTGTGGCTCCTCCTCTTGTTTAGAGCATTTCTTTAGACATAAAGAGACAAAAATAAAGGTCTCAGTAGTTTTTTTTTCCTACATGAACACGAGCATTATCACAGTGCATTTACTGTAGCTTTGTGTTGTCTTTGCATTCACACAAGCATTAGTGATAGAGTCTTGAATACACTTCTTATGTTTGCAGTCCCCCTCGTACTCACTTGTAGCTGCAGTTAATGGCGTGCTTGCTGTACACCCTCCTATCGTGCGTGAAATAGACTTTAAGCATACCATTAGCATTCATTATTGTTCATCTAAAAGTCTCTGAATTACCACATGACAAGCAACAGAAACTGATCAAGTTATTGTGTGATAAAGTAGCAGAGACAAACTTGGCCCAAAAAGACATCAGACCTCAGTTGAGAAACAGGATATCTGCTGCAATTAAATGGGATCTCCACGAAGTGACAATTATCTGGCTATCAAAAGTTTTTCAGAATTCTAAATTGATATCCTATTGTAATGGAGCTAAACCAGTGGTGGGGAACATTTGTGAAAAAGGCACTTAACTGTGAAGCTTTAGAAACTAATGAAACTCAAAATGGAAGAAAGGAACACTAGACTAATGTAAATGCAAAAGAAAGTACAATAAGAGATATAATGAAGTGCCTCCTATTTAAATAGAAAATATTCTGTGGTGAGTCTTTGCTCCTGAAATGCATTTTTAATGAATTTCCTTTTTTATATATTTTTGCTGCTTCACTGGTGACTCTTATTTTATGGGGGTCTTTGAAAAAAAAGCCATATTAAAACGTTCTCACAGAATGCCACAACACTCGGAGAGGCTGGATATTGGTTTATTCCAGAAGCGCTGATCAGGAAGACTGGCTCTCAACACAAAGTGTTTCCTTCGCTTTATTCAAATGAGGCTGAATTTGCATTGTGATGTGCCGCTCTTATTTTAGAGACGAAGAAGAGGAAAAAATGAGATTTTCAGATCAAATTGACCTAGGCAATGGTGCATTACGGAACTGGCAGGCTGAGTCTGAAAGGCTCTTGTTCGATCAGAGCGCCAGAAGTCGGTGGGGCAGGGGGAGCATGGAGAGATGGAGTGTCACTCTGCTGTGAAACCCTCCCACAGGCTGCTGGATCGCTCTCTGCCCCGGAGACGCTCCATCATCCAGCTTGTTCTGGCGCTCGGCACGCTTGTAGTGCAGTGACCCCGCATTCCCGCAGCAGCCCGCTTCTTCATCCACACAGAAAAGACTTTGTGCTTTTATTGTTGTCAGTGGAGGGACCAAACATAGTCAGATTAGTGAAATCAAGACAAAAATGATAAACCGCCTGATCAGACACATAAAAAAACATATAAAACTGGGTGCCAGTAAAACATACATGTTGTTCTTTTTCTTCTGTTCTGTGTGTTTTGTTCACCTCTCTGCAGTAATGTGTGTCTGTTCTGTGTTCTTGTCCTCAGGAGAACGTCCTTTCCAGTGCAGCCAGTGCGGTGCCTCTTTCACCCAGAAGGGCAACCTGCTGCGTCACATCAAGCTGCATTCAGGGGAGAAACCCTTCAAGTGTCACCTGTGCAGCTACGCCTGCCGCAGGAGGGACGCCCTCACCGGCCATCTACGCACTCACTCGGGTGAGTATACGACGGTGGCAGGCTTGAAAGCGCCTGCGCTCGTGGTAATTTTAGGAACGCTGGGTGGAAGCCTTTGCAAAAAGGTACGACAACTTGTGCAGCGCACACAGTGAGACCTCAGACTTGACTTATATAAGGGGAAGTTGACAGGGTGCAGATATGGTGTCACTTTTTTTTTTCTTTTTTTTTGCAAATGCTTTGCAGAAGTATGAGTTAATGAAATTTGGGTGTAAACAGTGTACTCGCACCGAATAGTTTCACAAAACAGGGAAGGGATAACCTGCAAGTGCATTTTTAAACTTACATTAATGAGCACATTCAGCTGAATTAGCAAAAAAACAAGAAAAACTAACAAAACTTAAAGCATGTAATAGATTATTCATCTCAAGCACTTTTTAAGTCTGCACAAAAACTAATTTGGATAAACTCAAGAGCTGAATTTAATTAAAAGCAAAGACTGCATGGAAAGTACCAGGGCTTGCACACAGGGGTGGGTTATGCTTAGGAAATTAAGGACAAGAATGCTGCTGTTATATTAATAATGTTCCTCTTATAGAATAGAAATAAAATTGTAATTGTTAACAAATCCCACAAAAAGAGTTCAGCAGCCTTCCCTTAATACTTCTGTCTTCCCTATTTTGTCTGTGAGCTCAACCCACTGATTCCTGTATTATATTTTAGTCCTTGTTCTCTCAGGAATAAATCTGTATGAACTGTTTTCATACATGCTGGTGAGCGTTCATGACACCAGGACTGTCATATTGATGATATTCAATAGATGAGCTGAGGTAGAGCCCCTGTGCTCCCTCATCCTCCCCCGCAAAAAAATCTGACTAAACATCATCAGCGTGTTTTATTATTCATATTTAAGATTTGCATTTATTCAGCAGTTCATTAATATTTTCTATATATTCCAGCAGAGCCTGTGGGTTAGAATTGATCCCTCTCCATGAGGCCAGGAATAAAGTTGTGCTGGGCGAATGTTCAATCCCTCATTTCCTTATTTCACTGGTGCAACATGAGGGGAATTACTCAGTTTTTATTTGTATAATTTTACTTCCCCCTCTTTTGTTTCTTGAATTCCCCCAAAACGGGAGGACATGACTTCATGTGATCCCACGAAGCAAAACTCTATCTGTCTACTTGGGAAGTTTTTGCACAGAAAATCTCTGTCAGTCAAGCGGTGATGCTATCGAGTCATTTCCCCAGCTTTTCTGTGAATGGACTTTTTGTAGGTGGTACTCTTGTGTTTTTTCACCCACCGTTCAGAAAAGCGTCTTCTTCTTCTGTTTATCTCTATCAAAACTGGAAATGTGACATAAATGCCTCCCTGGAAGAAATACTAGAAATTGTATTTGGAACAGCAGATTATCTATATCACCTTTGTGTTGATTTAAAATGTCATAACTTGTCATTTTATTATCAGAATATTTCACTGCTCTGTTGTTTTTGATTTCTATTTTTTTTTTTTTCAGTTGGAAAACCCCACAAGTGCGCTTACTGTGGGCGGAGTTACAAACAGCGCAGCTCTCTCGAGGAGCACAAGGAGCGATGTCACAACTACCTCCAGTGCATGGGCCTGCAAAACAGCATCTACACGGGTTGGTGCCTCATGAGGCGCACACTTCACTTTCACCCAAATCCAATGGCCTACTTTACCCTGAGCGCAGGCCTCTCTGTGCACGCAACAACAAAGTACCATGCTGACAATGCTGCCGTTGCTAAATATAACAAGGCAGGCTCAACTGCTCTTATTTCCATTCGAATACAGGCTCATGAAGACGCACATTATCCAAAACAACTGCAGACCTAATTACGGCAGTTAATTTGTCCTTACACACTGTGCAGTCAGAAACGGAGATACTTCAGGCACAAAATTATTTAAAGCTCCACATTAAAAACCTCAAAACACATCTCATCATCTGTGTGCATGAACTATATTTACAGACCAAAGGCTTCACGTGTGTCAGAATAGTCCGCTCTGTGCTTTATGAGAAAAACACCATCAGGCATGTGTTTCATCACTTCAAACGGGACAAACTCAAATTACTTTGACTCTGAAATCTACTTCTCTGTCTTGCTTTCCAGTAGTAAAGGAAGAAAGCAACCAGAATGAGCAGAGGGAAGACTTAAGCCAGACGGGATCTGACAGAGCCTTGGTGCTAGACAGACTAGCTAATAATGTAGCTAAACGTAAGAGCACTATGCCACAGAAGTTTGTGGGTAAGGGCTGAACTCTGCTTCCTTTGTGTAAATGCAATGTCGCTATTTTTGCAATTAAAAAAAATAAATGTGACTGCTGCACCTATGAAAGCTGCTCAGGTGGAGCTGCGTTGTGTTTTGTGTTGGTTAGGTTTGCATTTTCTGTGCCACCCTGACTCTGCATGATGCACGCAGTTCAGCCTGATCAGAGACGGTGCTGTTCTTCTGTCTATATGCTCCTCGGAAAGATTGTGTTTTTTAATATTGCATATTCATTTTACATTCAGGTGATGGTCTTCATAACAAACAAGGGAGTAAAATAAAATATTCAGAATGTGCTAGTACCAGACTGGAAATATTAATAAGAGACCATGAGACCATATAAAAACATTACAGTGAGTCATTTTGAGATCATCTAGGGAGGAGGAGCTCAGTCAGACGGTGAGATGACAGGATGCAGGTGAGAGCTTAAGTATGCATGACCTTCACATTGCTCCTCTGTCTCTCCTTGGCTCCTCAGGAGACAAACGTCTGTCAGACCTCTCTTACGACGGAGGAGCAGGCGAGCTGATTCAGCCCCACGTCATCGACCAGGCCATCAACAGCGCCATCAGCTACCTGGGGGCCGAGTCGCTGCGGCCTCTCGTCCAGACCTCGCCGGCTTCCTCCTCTGATGTGGCTCTCAGCGCCATGTACCCGCTCCACAAGCCGGCGACAGAGGGCCACACAGGGACGGGCTTGTCAGCCAAAGACTCTGCAGCCGAGAACCTGCTGCTGCTCTCTAACTCCAAGTCCGCCTCCAGCGAGAAGGACGGCTCGCCCAGCCACAGCGGCCAGGACTCCACGGACACCGAGAGCAACAACGAGGACCGTCCAGGCGGAGCGGCCCCCGGCCTCATCTACCTGACCAACCACATCACGTCGGGGGTGAGGAACGGCGTGCTGCCCCTGGTGAAGGAGGAGCAGCAGAGGCAGTACGACGCCATCCGGGCCAGCATGGAGATAGCCTCCGAGGGCTTCAAGGTGGTGACGGCGGACGGGGAGCAGGTGAGGGCGTACCGGTGCGAACACTGCCGCGTTCTCTTCCTGGACCACGTCATGTACACCATTCACATGGGCTGCCACGGCTTCAGAGACCCCTTCGAGTGCAACCTCTGCGGCCACCGGAGTCAAGATCGATACGAGTTCTCCTCCCACATAACACGAGGAGAGCATCGCTACTGAGGCCCTGTAACACACACACACACTCTCACACAGACAAACAGGAGGATGGAAAACATGCCACACTCTCACTCACAGACAAGCACCTGCAATAAAAGCATAGAAAAATGTGATGTAAAATACACTGTCGATGTCTTGTGTTTTTATACAAGGTATGCATGTTTGTTGACCACAGATAAATGTATCTCAACTACTGAAGAAGAAAACAACATTTATTTTCATTTTTCTGACACTGTGTTCAAAACGGACATCAGCTCATCTGTCTTTTTCTTTTTGTTTTCAAGGAGCGAAAATATTAAAAACAATACAGCAGAGTTTCTGTGCCATATTCTTATAAGTTCTAAACCGTGTATTTACCATGTCATAAGTACCATACTGCCATAAATATGAAATGTATAAACGTGTCTTTTCTTTTGGAAAACCAGGTAGCAACTTCTTCTTTTTTTTTTTTTTTTTGATTTAAAACAAGATTATTTCTTTTTACAAATATCTGTACCGAATAACAGATTTAAATATATCTGCAGTTGTTTTCAGAGCAGGAAAACCCATTGTAACATTAAATACAATCAATAAAAAACCTAACAATCAGTGTAGATAAACCCACAGTTCCTCACAAGGTTTTATCCAGTTATTGCGTTTGTAATAACCTACATAGTATTTATAACATTTACATGCCTGTCTGTTTTTGTATTTATTACAGTGATTGATGTTTGTCTTATAGAGTAGTAAAAGCTGCATCTTTTTTCTGTTCAACTGTACTAAATGTGTATGAGGTGATCCATGACTGCTGCTGGAAGCTATTTTTAGTGTTATCAGAGGGAAATGTACTCCTGGACGTTTTGTTTTATACATGATGGCTAAGAATTGTTTGACTCATTAAATGAAAATGAAGTTGACTTCATTTGAAGGGAGCCTTATGCTTGCAAAATATCAATAAAGGATATTTTATATATGCACATGGAGTGGGGGAGTGTTTTGTTTTTCAGAGAATGAATGTAAAAATACAGAAAAAGCAGAACTGATGCAAGAAAAGGAAAGTGTAGCTAGGGTGTTGGTTACATATTTAGATATATAGATATACAAAGGGATACTTCATGGCATATGCTTTTAGTAGGAAGATATTTTCTACTGGACTACATTGACCAGTCGTCAAAGAACACGGAGATGACTGCATTAAAAAGTCTCTCATAAATTAGGGTCAGGCTCTGGAAAAATGATTCTTGCAGTTAACGGAAAGTTTCTCTCAGATTCATTCCACCATCTTATCCTCTTCACACTCTCAAACTTTCCGAAATAATTAAGTCGACATGTCATTCAAGATGCCGCTCAGTTCTGTCAAGGAAAAGCAGAGAAACAGTGAATGACTGGCATCTGTGTGGAAAAAAAAAAAAACACGCTGTAAGAAGATTAACAGGAGAATAAATTAATACTACCCCACAGACTGGACACGTAACAGACCATGGGCAAGGTGCAATCTGGATTTAGAGAATCAAGTGTGGATCTTTTTGACACTGTTTTGTAGAACTTTCTAACTAAACCAGTTTTTCCATTATGTCTGACACCACATCGTCTGCACTGAGACCTTTGTGTTAAAGGACAGCGTGTTGGTCGAACATGCAGCACACACACAAAAAGGGTGTGTATGAGTGTTCACACACACACACACACACTAAACGCGCTGCGTCCAGGACCTGAAGACTGCGGATGGTCCTCTGAGGAGCGGCAGCAGCAGAGAGCTGGGACAGAGAGGATCAGCCACTGGAGCAGAAGGCCGGGGCCGGGGCTCTGAGGGCCAGGCCTGTCTGGAGAGGCTCATTCAGGGCCGGCAGAGGAGCTCGGCGGCGGCGGCGTGCGGAGACAGCCTCGTCCAGATGGCTGCTGTGTGATTTAGCAGAAACGGGAAGCAGCTGTGGCCAGCGCCGAGCCCCCCACGCTTGACTGGGACCCAACAAGGGAGGGAGGGCATTTGCATGAGAGGGATAATCTGGCCAACCAAAGCTGGCCCTGCCAGAATCCCACATCTCACTTCCCCTTTCAGCCCCGCTGACTGAAATACTCCTTCAAGAATCAGACTTGTGGGGTTTACAGGATCCAACAAGATGGTAGCGCTCAATATGTTTCACACTTTACAGAAGTGTGTCTCATTAATAGGCGGCCATGACACAATCTTCACTGCAGACTTTGTACATTTGGTCACTGTTTCTGAGGAATATTAGAACACACAGCTGGTGATTTCCTCTCCTGACTTTTCTTCACATGGAGGTCTATTTAGGAATGCAAGTTAGTCGTTGTTTAATAAAATGAGCAAGTGGGACCGTGCATTTACATAGAAAGTCCAGGGACTATATCAAGTGGTAGAACGTAACAAATACGTTTTTGGGGAACTTTGTCGAGTATTTCCATTCTAGACGACTTTTTAAGGGTTTCAATGCAAAGACATTGAAGCACCTTTATTACTGCTGCTCATATTTGTTAGTTCTGCTGTTATACATAGAAATATTTAATTTTTTTACTTCACTACATTTATTGAACAATTACAGTTACTTTTAATATTTTTATTTTTTGTTTTACATTAAATGGATTATATTATCTTAATAAAAAATAATGCTATCCTGTCTGCCTTGTGACAGCTTAGAAAAAGCATTGAGTCATGTTTCACCTGTGATTTAGCAGTTCTACCAAAGAGACAAAATCTCTTGAAACATGTCAGATGATTTCATTTAAATGACCGGTATAGGCTCATAAAGATCACATGATCACAAGAAAAGGAAACACTTATTCAAAACAACTAATTGTAGATAGACAGACAGACAGAGAGCTTTTTTTGTGGGTGACGAGCCGTCAGCTCCTCGTACAAAATGCAGCTGCTTGTGTCGTAAACTGTGATCACACAACACCGGTACTGGCCTTTCTCCACTCGGTTCCTGTCCGTTTCAGGATTATTTCCGTACGTTGTGTTGTTTGTTTTTAAGGTTTTACAAAAGGTCCTGAGCGCTTAATTTATCAGAACACATTTTTACACTCCAGTTAGAGCTCTGAGGTCGACTAATCAGATGCTCTCGGATGTTCCCAGATCCAGACACAAACACAAGAGGCGATGGAGCTCTCGCTATCGCTGCTGCTTATCTCTGGAACAGTTTTTCATTTAAAAAACTGCTGAGACTTCAGAAACTTTTAATTCACTGCTGAAGATTCAACTCTTCTGTTTGGCCTTCCTTCAAGTAGATGGATCTTTTATTTTTGTTTTATCGTTCTTTTACTCAGATTTCTCTTTTAGTCTTATGGGTTACTATTTACATTTGTAGAGGACTTTAGTTCAACTGCTGTTATTTCAAATTTGACTTGCTTATCAATATAAAACAGTTAATACTGATGGTTAAATGCTGTTTGAGGGTATAACTAGTGCTAACAGACATTATATAATAATATAAATAGACATGCAAGAGTCTCCTTTTGTTGTTTTTCTTGCAATTACAAGAGGACTATGATATTATACTGTACGATTATAATCCTAAAGGATTTCAGCCAAGACTAGTTTGGTAACACCTGTGTCCACTGGTACAAACAGCTACTGCGGGTAAGAATGGAAATAAAGTGTATAGTCAACACACACAATCTGATTTCATGCTACAAGCAGCACGAATATTTTTTTTCCGTGGCACTGAATTACATTCTGCTTTCTTTCTTATCAGTTCCTTGTGGATGTGAAGGCAATTTGAACCCAGCGTAGAAAAAGTGGAGCCCGCTATCAACTATCAGCACGACCAGACGGATAAATAATTACACAATATAGCTGCAGGGAAAGGTTAGTGCTAAAAAAAATAATAATACGGAGTGTAAATAATATCATAACAAGGAATTATTTAATAGAAGCCTAGATTATTATATCTTTATATATATTCTGCTGATAATTCTTCTATTATTAAATTACATGTTTTAACAATTTTACTTGAGTAAAGGTGTTTCTTTCTCTTTAAACCGGCAACATAAAGCAGTTATACTCAATCATCACAAGTCGCGTGTGACATTTCTGTCTCAGTTTCAAATGTCAGTAATCAAAAATTGAATTAGAAACTTAAAAAATTCTCAAAAACGTCCAGCGTGATGTGTGTGTCTGCTGCGTGTTTGTGACCACGCCACCCCAGATGTGACCGGCGCTACACAACCACAGTCAAATTGAGCTACAAGCTGACACCATATGGCACAGTTTTCAGTCCATACTCAATGGACTCTATAGATCCCGTCAGCACCAGAGGAATTCTGTGCATCTGTCCCGGTCCAGCTGTGAGGAGTCCCCATGTTCGGAGAAAGCCCACGTGGGGGTTGTGTGACTACTTGCGCTGCTGGCTAATTCAACAAAGTTTCAATACAGTGGCCAACCACACAAGGCTGAAATATTTATCAGGGGCTTGACAAAAAGATGAAAAATAAATGAAAGTCTTTTCTCATGGTCTTCCAGATTTTCAAAGATTTGTTCATTAAATTTACATGAGAAATTCATTTCATGTGTGCACAGCCTATAATGGTCTCCTTCAACAGCAGTGTGTGTGAGGCAGTGAGGCGTTCAACTCGAAAAACACCACGATCTCTGTTGACCAGAACCACCGCTTGGCATATGATTACACACCTCAGTTGCACAAATCACAAGTCATGAACTCTATGGATGAAGATCAGCGCTAAAAGAACGGCGGACGTCGTCTCACAAAAGGGATGTATTGCAGTAACAGATTTTCCTGTTGAGTCCACTGCTGTCTTCATCACGAACAGGAAGGGAGGCAAAGTGAAGTTTTCGGTATTTTTAACATGAGCCAGGATACTTTCTGTGTTGCCCAACTTCCTCGGAAAGGACTGACACATTTAGGCTTAGGATCATATCAGGACAATCAGAATTTAGGCAAACTGTGGTGGTAGAAGTGCTTAAAACACACTGCCCTTGGACCACGGGTGGAAATGTCACAATACAGTGAAGATAAACTCTGAGATGTAAACAAAAACGAAGCAACATTTTAATTTATTAGTGGGGAAAAACACAAATTTGGCTATTAACTGAAACCAGGATAAAGGTTTAACTCCTGACATGTTTTATATAATACAGATGAGAATATCTCTGGAAAAGAAGGTTACAAATGCTGAATGTCAATCCTCAAAGTATTACAAAAACCATGCAATTTGCTATAAAGCAACATAGAACAGAATCCCTGCTTCGTCTGGAACACGGTTCATGTGCACAACTCACAAATCACAAAGCAACAGGTGAATTAGCAGCTGAACAAAGCAGACCAGGCGATACGAACGCCTGAAAATCATTTGAATGTATAATACAACCTGCTGGGAACAATGTGCTGAGAAAATTCTCTCAGTGAGGATAATTAGAACAGATGTATGGGCTGCATTTCAGACATTTCACAAAATATGCTAACACATTCCTCTCCTAGCAACTTGTGTTTATATTTTCTTCCAAATTACAGCAGCCGGAACACGAGGAGTAAAATAAAATGGATCACAAACCATCAGGCCATTTGTACTGAATAACAAACAATACAAGACAACCTAACACGCACCTCTGCATTTAGAGAAGGATCTTTGTGAAGCTTATATATGGAAGGTTGTTGTGAGACTGTGTAAAGTAATTTTACGGCAGCGTAAGGCGTTAGTGCTATTCTGACCAGGGCTAAACTGTTTGGTTCTAAATAACATCTAGCGCCTGAACACGAGTAGGTGATAATGAGGTTGAGAAACCAAGTTTAACGTCCACATCCAAAAGTCTTATTCCACTCTTCGTACAGCTCCAAGTCTTTCGTGGAGACGCTCGGTCGAACAGTCTTCAGGGCCTCCTGGAAGTCACCGTACAGGATTGGTCGCACCTGATCAGCGGTGATGGTGGCGATATCACTGAGCTGGATGCTGCGTATTGGCCCCAGTGCCGCCTCTCGACACAGCTGAGTCATGTCCGCTCCGGAGAAGCCCTCTGCGGATGTTACCACGCTCTCCAGCTCATGCTCTCTCAGCTGGTTCTTCTCTCGAGCCATTAGGTTTGTCACTATCTGGCGTCGGGCAGCTGCTTCAGGCAGGGGGATGTATAACCGCTTTGCCAGGCGTCGACGGGCAGCCTCGTCAATCTCCTGGGGCCGGTTGGTCGCGCCCACCACCAGGATGCGATCCTCGGCTGCAGTGGCAGCCCCGTCCAGCTGAACCAGGAACTCAGTCTTGATCCTGCGTGATGAGTCGTGCTCCCCGTCTGTCCGCTGGGACAACAGGGAGTCAATTTCATCAATGAAAATGACAGCAGGCTGGTGGCAGCGGGCGATGGCAAACAGGGCTCGCACCATTTTCTCTCCTTCACCCACCCACTTGGAGGTAAGCGATGAAGCGCTGATGCTGAAGAAGGTGGCACCTGACTGACAGGCGATACATTTTCCTATCAGAGTTTTTCCAGTCCCCGGTGGTCCAAACAACAGGATGCCTTTAGGTGGACCACGGAGGCCAGTAAAGATGTCAGGTCGCAGCATGGGCCAAACCACAATCTCCTTTATGGTGGTCTTGGCAAACTCCAGGCCTGCTATGTCATCCCAGGCAACAGGAGGCCCGTGGTCCATGATCTCACTCATGATCAGCTCAACTATCTTTGGCTCAAAGTTCTTCAGACGCTCGTCCAGGATTTGAGGTTCCTGATTTGAATTACGGCTCGGCACACTTTCTTCTTCTTCCTGTCGTGGGATTGGAGACACAAACTTTGAAAATGCACCTCGAGGCCTGTTAGTACCCAGAGATTTCTTCACAGTTGCTGCCATCCCAGGGGCCTGACCTCTCTGGGGCTGATGGGAATGCTTTTTGTGCTGATCAACAATGAACTGCTCGCGAGCTGTTTTGAAGTTGCTTCCAGCTCGTGGGTCAGTGCCTCCTTGACCTCCATGTTGCCCTCTGCCACCATCCCCTCCATCTGGGCTATAAAAGTTCTTGCGTTTAGATGGGTTGGATGTGGGAAAGAAGGAGGATTGATAGTTTTGATTACACCCTGCAGGTCCAGGGTTCACCTGTGGAAGAGCTGAAGAGGGATGACTAAACACAGACTGTGGTCGGGCTGGAGGTTGAAAGAATGAGTTTGGATTGCCTGAGATCACGTCTGAACCTCTTGGCCTCTCAGCAGAAATATTAGCAGGAATACTGGCAGTGTTGTTAACTTCTGATTTAGGCTGTGGGGGTCCTAAAATTTTAAACAATGCAGCCTCTGACCTGACTCCAGTGAAGGGAGCAGAGAGGGAGCTGCCTCTGCTCTCGTGTCCCACAGTTATGTTCACATCAGCTGGTGCCACTGGGAAACTTTCTCCTTCCGTCCTTGCCTGAATCATCCTCTGAACGCTGGGCAACTGCAGCACACTCTCCGTGGTCAGGGACGACTCCCATTTGTCGCTGTAGTTCTTCTGACTGCGGGCCAGATGGAGTGCGCTCTCTGCATAGTTGTTAAGCCCTGTGCGGGGGTCATCCGAGTCCAGCACAGCGGCGTAACGCTCGGAGTAAGTCCTGAGCAGGCTGGCCATGCCGGCCTGAGAGAGCTGGGAGCTTGCCCATGCATACTGAATGGAGAGGATGTGGGCCCGGTAGGCATCGGCCGTCTGTTCAGGTGTACTGTTGCCAGATGAAATGTCAAAGGACCTCCGCTGCCATTCGTCCAGGTGTGCGCCGCTCATGCCTGGCCTGTTCCAGCCTGGTGAAAAGAGAGGGGACGAGAGGTTATTAAAAATACATGACCTCAGTAAAAGCCAAGGCACACATCGCCTCCGATCCGTACGCACAAAAACTTACAGTCATTCCACTACGTTCTGGAATGTGTATATGATGCAGGGACTCGCTGATTTAATATTGCACCTCCCTAATATTCAGGGACTCGCAAAAACAGATTAAAAACCAGAGGCTGAAATATTTTGACCTGTACTCAGTGTTATGAGTCAAGCGCCCTCTACCGACTAAGCTTTGTGCAATTTAAAGTTGGGTTTTTTTTGGCTATTCAAAGTCCTCGATTAGCCTTAAGCTTTAATTAAAACCAGATAAGACTAATTAAATGCTCTTCACGAGATTCCAAATAAAAAAAATGCTCGAAGTTTTACAATTAGTACAATAACTGGAGTTCAAATGGAAAAAAAAAAAGAGTCCCATGTTAAAAGCACCTGGGTATCTGATTGGATGATAAACGATCTTTTAAAATTCATAATGACAAAGAAATGAGGCTACTTTATTACTTCTTCTTATAAATAATGGGCCTCTCTTTCAGCAGCAGGTTACAGATCGTACAGGCGGCAATGGTATCAGTGCTTCACTATGCAGATGTACATAATTTAAATGCATGCTGCTGCTCATACCCTCAAGCCACTGGATGCCGTGTATCACAGCTCTCTTAGATTTATTACACTGCGTCCTCTATGAGAAGATAGGGTGGCAATCACATAATCAAAGAGAACATCACTGTCCTTTTATTTCTTTTAAATATCACAACGCTGAAGTATCCATCACCACTTTTAAGACATAGACAAGATTGTACTGACCTGGACATCTCATATATAAGTATATACGGTGTGCCTAATAGACAAAATAAGCAAAGATTTTACCTTAGAGCAGTTTAAGCTTCTGTTGAATTATGTTTTAGATAATAAATGCTATGCTAATGTACAAGTTGATGCTTGTATATTTTTTCTCTCTTGACTAAATAAAGGTTTTCAATCAATCCATCAAATGTCAAATATACTAGATCTCTTCGGTATTCACCCCTCCTGGCTTCTTAAATGTTTTTGAAGGTGGGCAGTTATATTTTTAGAGCAGGTTTTGTTAGTCTCTCAGCATAGATAGCTTCTAAATCTGAAGGGTCATTTTTTCCATTGTGACAAAACTCATTCAGACCCACAGACAACAACATACCCCACAGTATGAGTCGTGTTGACGATTGTAAATGACTGTATGTAGCGAGGATCAAAATTAACTGTCCAATGTGATAGATATGTAGCTTTACTGAGGAAATGTTCCCGAGCAAAGCTGCTGCACAACTCTTTAAATTTCATTCAGCCTCCATCACTGCTCCACTAAAAACACCCCGCAACAGAAACAAGTCACAACACTGAGCACGAGGGCCGTTACTTACTATTACTGATATCTCCTTATGATATTATGGCAAAAATAAAAAGCTGCTACGCTATAAACAACTTTTATAACGTTGAAAGTCGTTGTACAATAACTCTCCGGGTTAGTTTAGTGTTGGTTCCCGCCACCTGTTTCTTCTTCCTCCTCGTCTTCCGGCCTCGTTCCAATTCGGACTCAAAAAAAATCTACATGAGTGCTTTCGGTATACCTTTCCGAAACACACAAAACTTGAGCAAACAAGCGACGTTTTTGTTTGCGTGACTTAATAAAACGTCGACTTTAGATGAAAACATACAAGCAATGCATAGATAAAATCAAGCCACTAACTTTTTAAACATATTGGAACGAGGCCCGTAACTTGTCACAAGTAGGGAGTGCTCCATTTATCCTCCAGTACCGCCCAGAAAAAAAGTCGTCATCTGTTAATTTCTTTTTACATTATTTTTAAGTTACAGGTAACATTTCTTGATTAATGCTGAAAAACTGTACCCTACAGAGCAGTTCTACATAGAGTGAAAACCTTTTGTTTTCTTTTTTTAGTTGTCTCCGGAATATGGCTTCGGCACTACCCGGGTCTGCTAATTTGTAATGAAGTCTACGACGACATCTTGTGGCCAAAACACGCTAAACACATCTACCTCATAAATGGTCGCTTCAGCACGCTGCATCCTGGGAAATGTAGTAGCGACGATATTGAAATTCAGTCAGGAACGGAATTCGGCGTTAATAGTGTTTAATAAAGTTTACTTGTCAATTAATTGTATTAAAACCAGTTTGAACTTGCTTTTTCAATGCACAAAACGCGGTTAAATATCACATAATCCTTATGTTAGTGTCGGCATAAACTACACTAACCACAACCGCGGAGCTTTGTGTTTATGCTGTCGACAGTGGATGACAGCGGCTGATGAGCATTCGGAGAATAAAGCGCACGCCGCCGGTGGGAAAATAGGCAGCGTTTGTGATTTCGTGCAGCTAACTATCCAGCTGGGTAATGTTTCGCACTGTTCATTCCTACTGCCGTTGTCTTTGAAGACGTATACGGAAAGAACTTCCTGGATAGCTGTGGTCGCAGACCGTTAGCTGAGAGGTTAGCTAAACCGGAGACGGGATGTAAATTAATCCAGACGGGACCAGCCCCAGGAGCCGGGAGCAGCAGTCAGTCACACCCTTGTCTGGGGAAAGTGGGGGAAATCTCTGCGCTGAACAACATGAATGTGTTATCCGTCACTCTTTATGCTGTTTTGTATAGATATATTCTAGCCTCGGACTGCTGAATTATAGCTTGGAAGCACCAGTTTGAGTTAACTGGTAAGTGTGGACTGGATATGACTGACTCATCATCATGGTACGGACAGAGGAGATAACCCCGACCAGTCTGTCTGCTGCAGTGACAACCAGACAGCCGCACAACTAGCTAGACAGCTAAGTTATTACCATATTAAATCTTTGTTATTATTATTATTATTATTATTATAGACTTCCCCTCTTAGTCAGCGTGGCAGTATGAGTGCCCCGATGTACACCTTTGTCACCCGTGACGACAACAGCACTGTTTATGCAGAAGTTTCCAAAATCCTCCTCTCGACTGGACAATGGAAGAGACTGAAAAGAGACAATCCCAGATTCAACCTTATGCTCGGTGAACGGAACAGATTACCCTTTGGGCGTCTGGGTAAATGATGTTTGCTTGTATTTCATAAGAATCGTTTGTGTTTGCTATATTTGGCGTCCTCCTACTCTGGATGAGACAGCAGCTATGACTGTGTAGGGGTGTGTCCCGTGGAAAGAGTGTGTCCTTTACCCACACATGCAATGCACACATGTGGGTATTTGATTTTAAAATGTCCTAACTTTGACTTTGCAGGCCACGAACCAGGACTGGTGCAGCTGGTTAACTACTACAGAGGTGCAGACAAGCTTTGCAGGAAAGCATCATTGGTCAAGTGTGTATCTGTCTTGTTCAATGAAAAATCTATACTTTCTCTCTTTCATGTTACTAATGCACTTGTCTGCAAGTAAATTATTCAGGACAGATTGCATTAGCTGACCATTTCCTTCTGTGCCATTAGGCTAATAAAGACCAGCCCAGAGCTGTCTGACTCCAGTAACTGGTTTCCGGAGTCCTACATCATCTATCCCACTAACCTCAACACGCCTGTTGCTCCAGCTACAAATGGCATCAGCCATCTGAAGAGCAACCCTAAGACGGACGAGCGGGAAGTTTTTTTGGCCTCCTATCATGCTAAAAAAGAAGGCGGAGAGGGTACAGTGTGGATAGCCAAGTCCTCTGCTGGAGCTAAAGGTAAAAGTCTGTTTCTGTATTTAACTGTTTTAAATCTGAGATATGAGAGGTGGGACAAAATATGTAAAGCATTTCACAAATCAGCCACAACATTAAAACCACAGACAACACAATGTTCTCCTGGGAAACATTAGGTCCTGGCATTTGTGTGTGTCATGCTGTGGCACCCATCTAAACATTGATGCAGACCAGTGAAGCTTCCCGAAGATACTCATCAATGGCAGCGACCTCACCCAGAATGACAATGTGACTTAACGCACTGCAAAGCTGCTCAAGAACGGCTTGAAGAACATGACAAAGAGCCCAAGGCATTGATCTGGCTTCCATATTCCCCAGATCTCAATCTGATTGAGCATTTGCTTAAAGCAGTGGAAGAAGCCTGACCATCCGAGGCCCCACTCTGAAAGCCACAATACTTAAAGGAAACGTGCTGCTGATGTCTTGATGTCAAATGACTTGGGACACCCTCAGACCTACACAATATTAGGAAGGTGGTTTTAATGTTGTGGCTGATCACATGACTTCCTCTTGTCATATATTATTGATACACTGGTGCCACATATCAGCATTTTTATTAAAACGTGCAGACACTGTAAAGAGAAAACTTTAACTTACTGCTGTTACTACTTCATAACTACTCATAGTGCTGTTTACTAAATGGATGAGGGTACAATTAAGCTAATTAAATACCCTGTGGTGAGGAAGAAGAAACTTACAGGGGGGAAATGGCAGACAGTGAGGGAAAGCAAATCTGAGAGCTAATCAATTGAATTGTCACACTGTTCAAATAGAATAATAGTGATGATGCACACACACTGACAGATAATAGATGATTGTCTTGCATCACATTAAAGGTCACAGAATCAGTCATGATGCCATTGTTGTCATGAGCAACACATCCTGATCATATCATGAGTTACTCTGATTCCCTCCCAGTGCCATACTAGCCAGCTTAAGTCATTTTTTCTTTAATTGTCTGCTTAAATTACCATCATTACAGACTTCTTCTGAGCTATTTTGAGACATTTGCTTTGCTTTAACCAGCATTTTCCTTTTAATGAAGTCTACTGCTTGTATTATTCACAGACGCTAATCTGAGAATGTGATCATTGGCCTCTGTGGCAGCTTAACATATATATTTTTTATTGCAACAGGTGCTGGTATTTTGATATCCCATGACGCTAATCAGCTGCTGGAGTATATTGATAATCAGGGGCAGGTTCATGTTATTCAGAAGTACCTGGAGAAACCGCTGCTTCTGGAGCCGGGACATCGCAAATTTGACATCAGGCAGGTGTTTCATGCTCAACGCAAACCCACAGAGGATGTAAAAGTGTGTCCGGGCTTTGTCGCTTAGCTTTTTATGCTATGCTATTTGCAGGAGCTGGGTGCTAGTGGACCATCAGTATAACATCTATTTGTACCGGGAGGGCGTGCTGCGGACCTCCTCGGAGCCCTACAACAGCTCCGACCTCCAGGACATGACCAGCCACCTGACCAACCACTGCATTCAGAAGGAGCACTCCCTGAACTACGGACGCTATGAGGAGGGGAACGAGATGTTCTTTGATGAGTTCAGGCTGTACCTGCTGAACACTCACAATGTTACCCTGGAGACCACCATATTACCTCAGATCAAGCAGATCATAAAGTAGGTCCTTTTCTTCTTTGCTGCTCTTTTTATCATTAGACTTGATCTAATAAAAAGCAGAGCTTAGCTTTTTTCATATCACATTTAACGCTGAAAGGCATAATGCTTTTTATATTTGACTGCCAGTCTTGTACCACATCCCACCTCATGTACAAAAACTATCATATTTGTTTGGTTGGAGACAATCTCTAAACTCAGCTGGAGAGAAAAACTTGCCAAATCTCTCATAGTTGATATTGTAAGTAAACAACATCTTTTCCAAGTTACTTAATTGTCAATAACATTTTAATTTTCTGGCTATAAACAAAACAGATGGGGCAGCTTTGCTGTGGTTTTAGGAGCTGTGGTAAATATGAAAGCCAGTGACAAGTACAGCTTAGGAGAACCGATGGCTCTGTTAGGCTGATAGGGGCATTTTGCTGGCATGCTTTGGGTCCACTTGTCTCCTTAGAGGGAAGAGTCACTGAAAATCAATACAAAATTGTTCTGAGGGATCACCTTTATTCTGTGATGAAACATTTCTATCGCTTTGGTAGTGCTGAAGAATGGTGTTCTGTCCCTCCAGCAGAGTTACACAGACTTTAATGCCATGACACATTGGGCTTGTTCTGACAGAACAAGTTGGTCAAAGCCAATCGTGTGAGAAACATCCAGGAAACTGTGTTGCATGGTGTTATGAAACTGCACATTTTGTATGATCTGTTAGGGATCTGTTAAACCTTTTTTGGGCCAAAGTCACCCAACATTTAAAGTAGTTTTTATCAGGTTTGACTGGTGATTGTATACATACATTTCTATGTCCCAGTGACCACTGAAATTGCAGTCATGGCTCTCTCCCAGTTCATTCAGACAGGGACCTGGTCTTGTTAGACCGAAGTAACTGCCAGGTATTACCAAGATGGCTGTCAGGTGACAAGACTTGACTGTGAGGAGTTTGTCACCACCATGAGATCAATATCTGTGGTAAATGGTGAAATATCTCTAGACTAGACTTGCAGGTGAAACATTCTTTTATAAGAGATCTTCTACCTTTTTACTGCATCATCAGGTCTTCTAATGTTTTTTTCTACGTTTCTTTGGTTTACAATCAAATATGTGTTTGCTACTAATTAGCAAATGTTAGCAAACAAACACACTAAAGTAACTCTGTTAACGTGATTTATATCATACCTGCTAAACAATTCCTTAATGCCTTAATGACAATTCTTTTGTTACCTATTTCACGTGTTTGGAAACTGTCCCAGGCTTTGTTATTAAGAGTAAGATGATCAAACATGTTTTTTCTGTCTGGTTTCACAGGAGCTGTCTGTCATGTATTGAGCCTGCAATCAGCACCAAACACCTGTCCTATCAGAGCTTCCAGCTCTTTGGATTTGATTTCATGGTGGACGAGAGCTTCAAAGTGTGGCTCATTGAGATCAATGGAGCTCCAGCCTGCGCACAGTCAGTACTATTTATGTAAAAAAGTGCCTTTCTCAGCATGCCAGTCATTAATTTGTGTCTGTCTTTATCGTTATTTTTGCCACGAAAATCACTGAGTCATCACAGGTAGCTTTGCGCTGTGTGTGTGCTTTCTGCAAACTTACACTAAGTCAGCCTCAAAAGTGTGGAGATAAACTAACACTTCTACTATCCTTTCTTTTAGAAAACTGTATTCAGAACTATGTCAAGGGATTGTGGATGTGGCCATTTCCAGTGTCTTCACCCTAAACAGCGGCGGCGACTCCTCCTCTGCTTCCTCCTCACCGTACTCCTCCTCCCCATCATCAATGTTCACCACCAACTCCTGCTCCTCTCCTAAACTGAGAGGACCGCTTCACGTGGGTCCTTTCACTCGACTGTGAGCACCAAACCGAATATTGCCCTCGTTTCTTCTGCGCTAGAAGCTTCCTCCATGCTCTGTCCTCACTCCTAAACTGCACCTGAGAAGTAGCACTTGCCAGCAAGGCGACCCTTCGCTGTACCTCGCCTGCCTCGGCTGGAGGGACACTTTCTGTTTGTGGAAACCACGGAACTGCACGAGTGATCTCTTCTCTCCTGATTATGCATATTATGAATGTGAGGATGGCGACGAACTGTTCAATAAATGTTCAGGGAGTTTCTGAATGAGGACAGACACCCGTCCATCTCAGCTCCACCACCAGTGTCTCCCCAAGCAGATGAATGGAGGCGTGAAGGATGCAGAGATGCTCCAACTGAGACTGTAGTGCCTTACATTTCCAACCACGCTCCCTTAAAAAAAAGAAACTGTCAGTTAGCTTGCTCTGTTATAGTGACTTGTACTTGTTCTATAAGCCTTTGCACTGTTGCTCAAACATACCAATGTGGTCAAGATCAGTCCACAAGATATAGCATAAAACAGATTCCTTGATAGTTGAGATGATGGTGAGCCTTTCAGTGCTATTTTTTCATCAGACACTTTCCTTGTTTTTTTAAATAACTTCTTATATTTTCCCAGTACCTACTGCTACCCATTAGTTTGAATGAGGGATGCTAACATCGATAAAGAAGCTACAGTGATTGATGTGTTTGAACCTATAAAGACTCACTTATATGACGACTTATTGACCAGTATACTAACTACATGTATCTGATGAGCTAAGTATTAACAGTATCAAGGTTTGCCATGAAAAATAACATTCCTCTTCACTTGAATATGTCGATGCTATGTATTATTTACATTCAGGGCAGCTGGGTGGCATAAGTGAGCAGGGAGACCCAAGTTTAAGTCCATCCTGATCGAGTATCCCTGCCTTTTCTAAATAGCAAAGAGGAAAGGGTAAAGACAACCCCAAAAGTATTTCATTCTTCTGTTCTAAACAAGTTCTTTATAGGATATTTCACTTTGTTTAATGTCATTTGAAGAGAGCATGTTTGTGCGAAAGCATGTAGCACACACAGCATCTTGCTGTAAAGACCTGCCCTAATGTCTGTGTTTTACTTCTGATGTATGAAAAACTAGACCGTCGATGTGAAGTGTTGTGTGGATTCCGTTGTTGAAGTGTTGAAATGAACGTAGCGTAGATTGTACAGAGTGTCTTATTGATTATTTAAAGCATTTAATGACCCCGTGAAATGAAACTTACTTTACACAATAATGAATTGTTGACAACAGTTAAACTAATACAGAAAAAATAAACATACAACACTACTTCATACTTCTTACACTGATCTCTCATTGCCAAAGAAATGTCAGTTGCACCAAGGAAGTTTGATTTTACATCAGCGATACATTAGGTGATTTTGTTTTGTTTCATGGGGTCCTTAAATATTTCACTTTTACTTTAACTAAATCTCTTTGTGAGTAGACGAGACCTTAGAGGTGTAACTGTCCAAGGTGACTTGTGTTGGATCAATTTTACATCAACGTTTGTTGGATTGTTTCGTTTTTCTCTTCGATTAGCTTCACATTTCTGACAGGTGCATACTGGGAAGACAACTGTTGTGTTTCCGTGGGCTCATTTGAACTTCATTATGTGTGGTTTTAGGATGTGTGTTTGTCACACTGTTACGGTTTCCTGCTGTTCCCCTCTTTTATCCTCTGTTCAAATGTGCGAGGCTTCGCTCCCCGTGTTGCAAGAAACACCAGTTAAGGGATGCTGTCACTTATTCAATCACTGTGTGTTTGTGTTTACAAGATGACTCTGAAGAATGAAGGATATGTAAGTGACTGAAGGTCGGGAAGATGGACTAGTTACAAGGCAGGTTAGATGGGCCTGTAGAAGACTCAGTAACTGCCTAAAATAATGTCTGAATATGTGGAAAGGTATTACTGGAAGTGGTGAAAGTGTCAGCACTAATATTGGAAAGTTAAAGCAAACTATCAGTATTATTTTGAAATTGAATTTGTTGGTAAATTTCCATTAAAGGGAAGGGTGCCTTAGAGGGAATTGCATACTGATTTTAAAAAAAAGAAGAAGAAGCAATGCACCTCCAGCATTTAAATGCACCTTCATTTCTTTGTACTGAGGTGAATTTGTAAGACCTCTGTCAAATTCCATGATGTCATTTTCTCTCATTTGGAGTTTCTTTGCACATCTGACTAATTTTATCATGTTTTTCCTTAGGTGTTTTATTTTTCTATTTCTTCATCTTTACCAAAGATAAAATCCCTGCTGTATTTTCAGTGTGTAGTAATGTTTAGTCGATGCTAGATTCTAGGCATCATCACGACGTCGATTACCCAACATGATCTAAAAGCAAGTATCATGCTCAGAGGGATGTGTCCTGTGTTTTTGTTAGGTGATGTTTTATCGAAGATCTTGCATGAACATTTGTCTTTATGAGAAACAATATCATTAGAATAAAACTTATTACTTATCATCAAGCTTCTGTTATACATACGTGGTCGACTTGATCTGTACTAAACACACAAAACTCCCCTTTTCCCAAATGTTGGACTGCATAAGATTTACTAATATATATTTGTGGTTCTGGTGCAGCACTGAACAAGGTGTGTCCTACTTTTCTTGGGCAGTGAATGTAGCTTAAGATGCACCGAGTATTCCAAACAAATTGAGAAATTAAGAGAAGAAATATCTTGACAGCGCTGTGATGAAAGTATAGTTTTTATTTCTGAATTGACTTAAACCTGTGCTGTGAGGCTGAGATAGGTAATTTACTATCATTTTTCACATTGTGTTTTCAAAATGTATGACAGATTATCTATTGAATGCCTTTCAGATAAGTGGACAATTTTGATCAATTTATTTGGTATTTACGATCTTTATTACAGGATTACAAGAAACAGTTCTTTCCATTAGTGAATCATCTGCTGTTTAAGGTAAAATACAGTTGAAATCACCCATCTGTAGAGGCAGAGTTGGCATCAAAAACACACATATATTGTTTCCCAGTACAGAAGACAAAGACAAACATGTCTTCCTTGAAAAATGACTGATTGCCTGCTTATGCAAATTGTGAGTTGTGCTATTTTATGGGTCACGTCAGCACTGAAGATGCAGGCTGTGTGAAGATGCCCCTGGGACAGTCCAGCACAGAGCAGCAGGCTGGGACAGTGGAGAGCGATAATCAAGTGGCTGGGATAGTGTAGAAGAACATCTGTGCTGAGGATGGGTCAAAAGTCCCAGTGGGACACAACACACGAAAGTGGTAAAGAAAAGCAGCGCTGAGATCCAGAGGGGCCTCAACAATCCCATCTGATAGTAACATCAGGAAGAAGTACCAGGACCTGAAGGAACAACTGGGACAGATGTGGAAGCAGTGGTCTCAGTGGTAACAGGATCATTTATATTCCTGATTTAGTTTATTATGCCTTGTTTGTGCTCATCCTGTTACATTAACTGCTCTACTCAAGAACTCACAAGAAAGTGTTACTAAACAAAAGAAGTGAAGTGGTCGGCTGTCACAGGAGTCCTGCTCTGACAATGACAAAAAGACAAAATAACCACGTTCAGGACAGGTCTGTCAGTCAGATGAACATTTACAGTACAATACCACACAACAAATATGAGACAATGGATCTGGAATTTAACAGCAGCCTTCTGTGTGATGTCCACCTCTTGCCTCGGGGCGGACAGTGAAAATGTTCGCCCACATCCTGGACCGCAATAGTAGGAGGAGTAGAAGAAGCCGTAGCAGCATCATGTTCCAGGGTCAACCTCTGGTTTGTTCTTGATGACCTCGGCTCTTCTCACCCTCCTCTTCCTGCAAACCTCTCCACCATGGACCTCACACTCAACACTGATTTGGTCTCTAATAAAGGTCCAAAAAACAGAAAACCTTAAAAAGCCCTGGTAAAGCGCTGGGGCCTTCTGTGGCTGACAACATTGTTACTGGCCATTGTTTTACCTGCTCCCCTCCTCTCCTCGTCATATGTAGGTCCCTCCATTTCTTGCCAAGACCTTTATTTATTTATTTAAAAAACACGGGACACAAAAGTTAAAACAAAGTAAACGAAAGGTAGAACAAAACATTTGAGATGGAAACATTGTGCTTTTTATTCCACTACAAGCTTTTAAAATACAAAACAAAGTTAAAGATCAAACCAGTTGTTTGCACCCTTTTTACCAACACCAGTGTCTAGTTGGGCTGCTCTCACACTTTCCACCCTCAACTCCTGACAACAATTACTGAGACACAAGTGTGATGCAGCATGTTGTTTTACCCCCAGTCAATATCTACAGTGGGGAGAATACATGTTTCATGACATTGTCTTATTATTCATACTCAAAACTACTACTAAATGAAGTTTTTGTTTAGCCCACACTGACCAGTAATTTAAACAGTTGTTGTTGTTTTTTCCCTTGATAACACTTGAAGAGTGAAGAGCTGTAGTGTGCAAAGGGATTGAAGAGGAAACTGTTGAACATAATAAGTGATGCTTTATAGATTCTATTGATGTGTTTAGAATTTTGGTGTTGCATTAATTTATTATTATTATTAGTAGTAGTAGTAGTAGTAATAGTAGTAGTAGTAGTATTGATTAAATTATAGTTTCTGGTGTCACACACTGTGCATTGAAACAGGAAATTCAGAGAATCATTTTCAGTATAAAATGATCAAATTCATTCTGAAAAAAACAAACAACACTTTAAAGACTCGTGATAATAAAGTAGTTTCTATTTAAATCAGGTTTTATCTCAGATCTTTGGTAACTTGTTCAAATCCTTTCTTCCTGGTTCTTTCCGTCTCCAGGTATCGCCGCTGCGTCAAGACGTCACGTCCGCGCTCTACACACCTCCGTGATGAACGG